CATTTCTCATTGTAATACAAGCAATTGTTTCCATTCCACAGTTAGCTGAGCCCTCCTGTAGTATTTTGCCATAAAGGTCTAAACTAAATGGGTATTAAAAATTGGAGAGTGCTCATGAACAGATACTATTTAACTAAGGCACTGAAAGGTTTAGAACTGGACTAATCCTTTAGCTCCCAGTAAACACAGCCTTTCTGAATGAAGACTGTCAACAGACAGGTATCTTTCCAGAATCACGTCCAATGAATAAAATTTAGTTACGGCTTATGCACAAAGGTTTTTTGAGTACGACATGATTCAAGCTGTGCTAGTTAGTGAGAATTTACATTTGCTTCAGAAGGGTTATATAAGCTCGTTAACAATGCAAGGTGTTTGATTTTTTGCATTATTAATTCAGCTCTGCAATACATAAAAAAAATCTTTCATAAAAAAGCCAAAGTTATTAATTTGTGTATCAGCATCTCCAAGGATTCTTCCACCTACAAGGAGTAAGAATAAGAGTGAAATTGAATGTGTGCTGACTCTGCTAAAATGTATTTGAAAATTTTGAAGACTTAGTTTTATGTAAACAATAGAACACAGTTTCTCTACACTTCAATATCGTAATGACAGATTCAAAAGCAATTTTGTTTTGAAAATATTAAGCAACATTGCTGCAGTCCCATTAATACAGCTTCATAAATGCTGAATAGCCTCATTACTTTTAACTATTAGACCAAAACATCATCTGTCTTGCAATTAATTCAGAGGACAGTGACTGTGTCCACTCTATAGGAGTCCTTCCTCCCAATAAACTGTATTTAAGCTGAGGTACAAGTGCAGTTAACCATAGATAACTGTATAGATACTATACTTGATATTGTTAAATAGGTGGATCCCCTATTCAAACATATCTTAGGATTTCAGACACTGCATCCAGTAGACTACTTAGGGAAAAGACATAAACGTGTATAAAAAACAGAGACAGGTAATATACGCTGTTAGTAATAAGGAGAAGTTTTACAGGTTCCAAATATAATGAGAGTTACGCGTGCAGAACTTAAGTACTTACTAAGGCTTGACGCTGTAATATTCTTCTGGTGTCACAATTTTCAATCCACCAAAGTAGTCCAGGACCCAAATATTGGTGATGTTGAATTTGGCAAAGAACCAATTATGATCCTTAGGCCAACTTTCCATTTCAGGGTGGCGACTGAATAATGCTTTTTTTGCTAAACCCGCTTCTGAATCATTCACCTAAACAATAACCAGCAAAATACTACAGTAAGATACAGTCATGTGAAGACAAATTTTAGCTAAAAAAAAAACCCAAAACAACCACTGCTGTCTGCAGTGTGCTCTTTTCAGTTTAGCCATGTCTTATCCCAAAGGACTCATTACTGCGGGAGAGTCCACTCATCTGCAAGTGTGGTGTACAACTGTATGAGAAAGACAAAAACTCCAAGGTAGTCGATTTTAATATTAAATCAAAAGGGTGCTTTTAAAGTAAGCATGAGCAAGGAAGTATTTCATCAGCATAAGAATATTTTTTTCAGCAAACCACAAGACAGAGAAGTATGGATTCTTATTACAATGCAATGTTTTAGGTGTTTTTTTACCTCCTCTGCACCTGCTCACTCAAACAGACACAAACAGATCCAAATGTGTTCAGATGCATGCAAACACACACATACACACACGCAAATAGGGTGATACGACAGAATCTGCAGAAGGGAAGCTGAAATGTGTGACAGCACTTAATATACAATGTACAAATATTTAAAGGGTTAAATCAACAAGTTAGAGCTCTGGGTGTAGTACAAGAGGAATTAATTAAAATAATTCCATTATTGATGAGAAACTCATGACAGCAATTAAAGGATTGCTAGAGTGTAATGTGCAAATATCTGAGGTGTGAAAACACCAAATAAGAATTTAGACTATCATATAAGAGAGACTACTAATGATGATTAGTCCTCATCCTCAATCATTATCCTCAATAACGGGATTAAGATCTTCAATGAATAAAACGTGCAGTTCTAAATTCCTTCTACAGGACATCAAAGTACCAGTGCACGGAAAAATACTGCCCTGGCAGCAACGCCGCAAGATAACGCGATGCACTTTTTCTGTCTCTGTAACTTCAGAGCTGAGGTCAACATTTACTTAGACAGTGAAGTTTTGGAAGCACATATGTCACACTGCATGGACCAAAGAATTTAACTGAGCAAAAGAGATGGGAAAACCTTCACACTTCATTCACAAGAGAATTGTCTTAGACTTCTTAGTTTGAAAACACGTCTAGAGGAACGAGGGAGATTTCCTTCATTACAATATTGTCCTCCCAAGACCCTTGCTAAAGACATGCCAACATGGCTCCTGCCAATATCACATGGTAACTTCATTTTCCTCACACAAACTATGAGCCAGCCTTCTGGTATCACCACACTTAATATCTCTTCATATACTTTTGCACGGAAATTCTAACCTTTCTCTTCTCCATCCACTAAACAATACTATTTGAGGCATGCAATCTTCTCCAGTGTCAACTTTCAGCTGCTTACCTTTACAATACTCCCACAGAAGATTATGTGGGCACAGAGGGGGTTCTGGGGATCATATCTGTGCTTCTTGCAGTAAGGAGTCTGTGCCAAAGACACAGTTAAGGAGGCATTTGCGTTGATCTGAAATGCAAGTAGTAAGATAAGAGCTTTACATACTTTTGTGAGAAAAATGTCATACCCGCTGTATTTTCAGCATTTGGTATATTATTCAGCTCAGTATTACTGGTAAAAAGAACAAAGCTGAACATCATCTTTTCCTAACTATATCTGAAAGGCCACTTAGATGAGCTCTGAATCTGAAAGAAAACCCAGTTTAGAAGCGTGCTTAAGTTTGTTAGGATAGAACGCAAACCTCACAAAACTGCACTGCTTAAAACTCTGAATTCAATATACAGTCTAATATACCTTCAAATAATGATATATTCCAATTTACATACATACAGGACAGTACAGAAGACTGGGACATACAGTGAATTTCATTAAGCTAATTCTGGTGGAAAGACAAAAGGCGACACAAAGGTAACTGAGTTTCACGACTGTTGATAAAATTAGTTAAAGTAAAACCAAACACACACACACACCCCCGACAACCCCCCCCTCCCCAAAACAAGCCTCCCAGCTGCCCCCAAACTGGTCAGCTCTTTTGAAGTTTAAAGTGAATTTTAAAAGTTAGGTTTAAAAAATCCTGAGTATTTAAGTAAGGCACCTAACTTGAAGAGTTAAAGAATCTGTATCTGATTGTTTTTCTAAAACTGATTTGGTGAACATAGCTTGAAAAGTATTGGTGCAAAACAGGATTGCCTACTGCAGAACGTCACATACTGAAGTTCATTATCTCCCAGCAAAAGAAAGTTCATGTGCGTCGAGAAATTGCATTAAAAGAGCTCATCTCAAAAAGAACCCTTCCCCATAATACCACTGAACTGATGAAACACGAGCAACCACCTGACAGATAGGAAGTTGCTTAACTACAAAAAAGCTGACTCATAATTATTCAGCACTATCTCCTACCAGACCTCTGCCTTACACGTGACTATCACAGTCAAACCTTTCTGCCTTGTGACAGCAGAATAAGGGTCTGTTGGGCAGCCTTCTGAAGGAAAATGTTCAGTAACCGTTTATACCATGATTTTTATGTGATTCTCAAAACAAAAGGCTGTAGGTGGGGTGGAGAAGGAGATCCTATACAAGATAAATTAGGCTTTCTTACAGCACTTAAGATACACAATTTATCTAGTTTAATGTAACAACGTAAAACCTGACAGGGAGCTAACAAAAAAGTTAAAGTCTGAAAAGTTTGCGTTGTTTAAGTTTTGTGTTTATTTGTTTTACTAATACTGTAATAGTTACTAGAACAAAAAGGCTCTCTTCAATAAAGGGGGCATACGATCACTATTTCCCTAACTTTTTAGCCAACTCTCTTGACCACAGCCAAGCAAAAGATCCGAGACAAGGCCAATCGCACCCACCCAGAGCCTCGGCACGCCACTCCGTTGCCTTTTGCGGTGCACTTGCCTTTCTGGCGAGCCCCAGAGACTTAATTGCTGTTTCTTCAGTAGCCTGTGTAAGAGCCCTCTTTGCTCATGCCCCCACGCTGCCAATTTCCAGTCTTTTTGATATTTTATTGTGAAGTTCTCCCTGTTTAAGTATCCTTTGGCCCCTCATTTCTCTGGTTAGTGCTTCTGGAAGCTTCAGCCACTTCCTCTACCAGAGTTCTGCTCAGCAATTTTTCA